TACCCCACTCCCTCCTCCAATTTAATACACTGGCCCCCACCCTTCCAAAATTAATACACTGCCCTCTCCATGAAATGAATACACTGCCCCCTCCCAATTTAATACACTACACATGAAGGTCCCCCATGCCCCTCTTCCCCTACCTTAAGATGAGCTGTCCGTCCTTCAGTTCCAGTCCTGCTCTTCTCTGCTCAAGCAGGCCAGACGCTTCTCTAAATCTGAGGAAGCCCAAAGCACAGGAGGAGGGTGAAACATGGCATGTGATACATCATCAGGAGACGGAGCCAAAACCTGGCATCTTGACGAAACCAGGAAGTAGCACATGCAAGTTGGCATTTTATGCCACAATTGAGCATTTTTGATGTATTACTATATGGTATAACCCACTAATGCTTTGGCTATTTCACAAAGTGAAAAAAAAAGTGCCATAAAAGTGCCATAAAAGTGCCATCTTTTGGGAATTAAAGCCTTCAAAGTCTTGAAGCCTAAGCATTGTGGGAGTCATTCCCTCTCAAGTGGAGCCTCTCTCACCCAGAGCCAGGATTGATAGGGCTCTGGTAAATGTGAGTGTAATCCTCATATATGTATATAAAGCACACTGTATTATAATAAGGATAATCTACACTAGATTGTGTTTTTTTATTTTTTTCAGATTTTCTTTTATCAATATATGTTAAGTATATTTTGAGTGCCACACTTGTTTATGGTTTTTGGAGTATTCTGAATAACTATAGAATTTTTTGGAGGGATATCATTTTAATTGCGTTAAGTCGACCCACCCATGAGGCCTCCTTCAACTTGGCCACCTCACCCTCTTTGAATTCTATGATTTTACATATCAGGACGTAATAACAATAATCTGTCCTTAGTAGGTCTTAAAATTAGGTAAATGCAACATCAGATTGACAACAACACATGATCTTAATATACCGTGTCATGATTTATTTAAAAAAAATAAACCCAAAATGGTGAGCGAAAATAAACAAGATGGGTGACAGGGGGCACCCCTGTCTTGTGCCATTTGTTATGGAAAATTGTCAGGTGAATCCTGAGTTGAACACTAACGCTGTCAGGTTATTGTAAGTCGCCATGATGTCTCTGATGTCCAGTGCAACGTGGAGACCCTCGCTTTTGTGAGTGCTATAAGCATGCGTTTTCTGGCCAATGTAGCTAGTGACAAATCTGTGAATAACTGTCTACTTGCAAAGCATCCCAACAGGCATGTAAATGGACAAAATAGGGATACAGCTGAATGACTAAAAAACATAAGAATACATAGTACATAGTGAAGTACCGTCACAATAATAAAATATAAACTTCAATGATTGCACTCACAAAATAGTGATGGATAATGCGCCTTTAAGCCCTCAAGGGCTGCAGTGGTATTCACCCTCCACGAATAGGTTGCTCTGTTTTTTTTTTGTTGCAGTTTCAACTGACAGTCCTTGAAAATAGAAGTTAAGGTGATGTGTCCAGGGTTAGTCCATAAGCAATGTCCTTTATCCAGTCCGAGGTCATTCAATAGGAGATCAAGCAGTATTGAAGGAAATTCCAAAAGCAGAGTCAAGGCCAGTCCGAATTAGTTAACCAGGTAATCAAAGATATAGAGGTATGAAGAGGAGATTCAGAAGGGGTCCGGTGATGGAACACACGGTCTCTCTAGGAGTGATCCAAATGATTAGCAAGGAAGTTGATGCAATCAGTCAGATTAACACATTAATTGTTAATTGTGGGGACAATTTATATTTTTATCATGCATAGTATATTGTTCATTTGTGTGTTTTTTGTGCCAAATGTGTATCAGTGTATTTATATGTGTGCATGTGTGTGTGTGTGTGTCCAAGGAGACAGCAATGTGATGGTGATGTGGTATGGGCAATATCCTGGTAATGTGTAACATGTACAATATACGTGGGGCAATATATACTTATTGTTTATATAGTATGTGTACAACAGAAGCCTAGGACAATGTATGTGAGAAGGTTATGGACATTGTGGGACACAGAGTCTATGGTAAATATTAAGAAATTTGACTTGACTGCCACATTGTTTTCTCTTCTGTAACTCCATTATTTGGTAAATGATTTTTTTAGTTCAAGTAACCTTTTTATTTTGTTTCCATTAAATTAAATGTGCTATCTATGCATATGGAAATTTAAATACATTAAAAGTTTAGTTTCCAGTACACCCAAAAACTAACATTCTGTAACTATTTTTTGCAAAGCTCTTGGTAGTATAGGGTTTAAAGGAGAAGCAATCTGTCCATAATAAATGGTTATTTCCATACTACTCACTTACATTATTATTTCTATATTGTACAGTTACATAGTTATTTTCCTATCACATAGTTACATAGCGGTTTACAAATCATATAATTACATAGTTATTTCCTTATTACACAGTTAAAAAGTTGTTTCCATGTCACATAGTTATTTACAAATCACATAGTTACATAGTTATTTACAAATCACAGTTATATAGTTATTTACAAACCACATAGTCACTTTCTTGTTTCCCTATCACATATTTAAATAGTTGTTTCCATTTTACATAGTTACATAGTTATTTACAAACCACAGTTAAATAGTTGTTTCAGTGTCACATAGTTACATACTTGTTTCCATGTCACATAGTTACATACTTGTTTCCATGTCACATAGTTAAATAGTTGTTTCCATATGTGATGGACCATAAGCACTTTGCTGGAACACCATAACCACCGTAGACCCTATGAACCGCTGCAGCTTGGTTGGGGTCTCGCCGTCCTCCACCCACCCTGGATCCAAGACTAGGATCCAGCTTCCAGTAGGAAGGCCTCTCTTAGTCCTGAGAGCGTAACAGGAGCAGCTCTTACAAGAGCTTAGTGATTATACTCAGGGGAGTATAGTGATTATAGCAATCCCCAGAGTGTAGTTCTCCAATCCCCCAAACATGAGCCAAGACTTCATGAAGGTGCAAGATGATCTGATCTTTAATGGTTCAAGTTGGCTTTTATACAATTATTGAGGCCAGAGGAACACCCCCTGGACCTGATGGGGCACAGGAACACAAAGGACACAAACCAACAGAAACAATGTGACAATGAATGAAACCCCCACATACATTGCACAAACCCTCCCCTCTGCCTGTGATATCATTAAGGAAGATAATGCATTAACTTAATTATCCCCAGGCAGAAAAAAAAACACACACATATATTTATAAAGTCTAATAAGTACCCCAAAACACAACATATCCCCATAAACGTTACATCCCCAGATCGGTTCAGGGGTTCAGGAAAGTCATAGTTTTGACCGACCGTGCACATGGTCCTTTGCCCAAAACAGTTCCAGAGAATTAGGGCTAACGGTGTAAAGTGTATTGGACCAGATATATTGCAGGGCCCATAGTCCCAGGGTAGGAGTAAAGCAAACAGGCCCCTCCAAAAACCAGTGGCGAGGTCACTTTCGCCACACCATATCACATAGTTACATAATTTACAAATCACATAGTTACATAGTTGTTTACAAATCACATAGTTACATAGTTATTTACAAATCACATAGTTACATAGTTGTTAACAAATCACAGTTACATAGTTATTTACAAATCACATAGTTGTTTACAAATCACATAGTTACATAGTTGTTTACAAATCACATAGTTACATAGTTATTTACAAATCACATAGTTACATAGTTGTTTACAAATCACAGTTACATAGTTATTTACAAATCACATAGTTACATAGTTATTTACAAATCACATAGTTACATAGTTGTTTCCATGTCACATAGTTACATAGTTGTTTCCATGTCACATAGTTACATAGTTGTTTCCATGTCACATAGTTACATAGTTGTTTCCATGTCACATAGTTATTTACAAATCACATAGTTACATAGTTGTTTCCATGTCACATAGTTACATAGTTGTTTCCATGTCACATAGTTACATAGTTGTTTCCATGTCACATAGTTGTTTCCATGTCACATAGTTACATAGTTGTTTCCATGTCACATAGTTACATAGTTGTTTCCATGTCACATAGTTACATAGTTATTTACAAATCACATAGTTACATAATTGTTTCCATGTCACATAGTTACATAGTTGTTTCCATGTCACATAGTTACATAGTTATTTACAAATCACATAGTTACATAGTTGTTTCCATGTCACATAGTTACATAGTTGTTTCCATGTCACATAGTTACATAGTTGTTTCCATGTCACATAGTTACATAGTTGTCTATGTTGAGAAAAATACTAAAACTCATGAATTCAACCTTGAAGCCCATTTTTTCAAATGTATTGTCTTACAATGCACTGTGAGCTGGATTTTGGGATCAACTGCTAAATGCTTAATATATATTCCAAAGAGAATGAAAAAGATTAACCCACGGTTGCGTTGATACATTTGATTTAATGGGGTAAATTCCAAAGAAGTGATGGCCCTGTTCATTCATTTGGTTTTCACAAATGCAGGTATTTAGGAACATTGTCTGAAGAATTTCAAATTTTAGACCAATGTAGTTGAGTTGTGGAAAGTTTCCAATTTGGCTATTTTATTCCAAAATATGCAACTTTGTCATTAATTCCCTAATATTCCTAGTTTCTGTTTTGCACAAATGTTTGTTTTCCTCATGAGGCAGAATTGGTATTCGCTGTCAGCTCAGTTATTTTAAACAGAGACAAAAAATATTGAAAAACCCAATAATGTTTTACTTAATTTATTCAAATAACTATGGGAAGAATATTACTAATCCAGAATGTCATCACGTTTCTAGAACTAATAATAAAGTTTAATAATTGTTACCATCCGCCATCTTTATATATGCCACATACGTTATTTCAGATTCACTAATCGCCTGTCTGCATTTCTCCCGGTCTCAGGGTACGGACATCTATATCCCGTTACAATCTGTGGAAAAATCGCTTGTATCATCTATGCCGCTGTGGGTATCCCTCTGATGCTGCTTCTCCTCACGGATTTGGGAGATATCCTTGCAGGACTTATGTCTAAAGTTTATAAATATATGCTACACACATGGAAAAGTTTTCGCCACAAACCAGATCGAGATAGGACCACTCTCTCTTTACTCCAGACAAGTCACACTGGGAAGTCAAGTTTAGAATCCACTCTGGACAGTCGAGTCTCCATGAAAGAACCTCTAAACCTCACAGATGTTCTGAAGAATCAAGCCTCAGTGAAGAAAAAGTACCACCAGATGAGAAATATAGATCTTTTTGAACTGATCATTGTTAAAGAGCATTCAAGGATTTCATTGTTAAAATGTAACAGTTTCCAAAAATCCCACTCCTGCCCCCATCTAGAATCAATTCCAGCTTCCGACTCAGCAATAAATAACTTTGATAGGCTCGGAGTAGAACTTGACCAGCTGGATGTGCCAATCATATTGATTGTCTTTGTGGTCGTGGCCTATATAATGTTCGGGGCTTTCATTCTTCCTTTGTGGGAGACCAACTGGTCGACAATTGATGCCTTTTATTTTTGCTTTGTCACATTAACCACAATCGGTTTTGGTGATATTGTGCCAAAGCACCCAAATTACTTTCTATTGCTGTCTGCATACACTGTAATCGGAATGGCCATCATGTGTATGGCTTTTAAGCTGTTACAAAACCGGATGGTCTGCTTTTATAAGCAATGTATGTCATGTATCAGCAGGGGTACTGTGAAACACGAATCAATAAATCACAGTTAATGTATATATACTCAGGAAAAGACAACCAAATGGAAGATTAAAGGACCATTATAGTGCCAGGAAAACATACTCGTTTACTATAGTGCCCTGAGGGTGCCCCCACCTTCAGGGACCCCCTCCCGCCGGGCTCTAGGGTGAGGAAGGGGTTAAACTTACCTCTTTCTCCAACGCCGGGTGGGGAGCTCTCCTCCTTCTCTTTGGCTGAATGCGCATGCGCGGCAGGAGCTGCGTGTGCATTCAGCCAGTCTCATAGGAAAGCATTCATAATGCTTTCCTATGGACGCTTGCGTTGCGTCTTCTCACTGTGATTTTCACAGTGAGAATCACGCAAGCTCCTCTAGCGGCTGTCAAGAGACAGCCACTAGAGGCTGGATTAACCCATTCTCTGAAACTGCTATGTTTATAAAAAAAAAAAAGGGTTAACCCTAGCGGGACCTGGCACCCAGAACACTTCATTAAGCTGAATGGGTCTGGGTGCCTAGAGTGGTCCTTTAACACAAATGCTTTTTGTACTATAATCTTTAATTATTCAATATTAGCTGTGCATGCAACTAACAATGATGCATGCAAAAGGAAGAGATGAATTCTTTCTAAACTGATGATCAAGTTTGATCTTAACTAACACAGGGCATGTCGAACCCAAGGCATGAGCTCATGGGCTAGATGGACATAATGAGAAAGCGACTATATTGAAACTGAACTGAGTAAAGACTCGCCATCACTGAATTTCCTAGAAGAGTAATCAAGACGCAAAGATTCCAATATCTGCAACAATGTAGTAAGAGAAGCCAGAAGCTCCAGGTTCCCACACACGTTAGGTGCACTGTGTAGGTTAGGTTACAGTTAGTTATACTGGGTGGGTTTATATTATTAAAGGGACACTCCAGGCTCCCACACACGTTAGACGCACTGTGTAGGTTAGGTTACAGTTAGTTATACTGGGTGGGTTTATATTATTAGAGGGACACTACAGGCTCCCACACACATTAGATGCACTGTGTAGGTTAGGTTACTGTTATGCTGGGTAGGTTTAGATTATTAGAGGGATACTCCAGGCTCCCACACACATTAGATGCACTGTGTCAGATAGGTTACGGTTAGTTATACCGGGTGGGTTTATATTATTAAAGGGACACTCCAGGCTCCCACACACATTAGATGCACTGTGTCAGATAGGTTACAGTTAGTTACACTGGGTGGGTTTATATTATTAAAGGGACACTCCAGGCTCCTACACATGTTAGGTGCACTGTGTAGGTTAGTTTACAGTTATACTGGGTGGGTTTATATTATTAAATGGACACTCCAGGCTCCCACACACATTAGATGCACTGTGTAGGTTAGGTTACAGGTAGTTATACTGGGTGGGTTTATATTATTAAAGGGACACTCCAGGCTCCCACACACCTTAGATGCACTGTGTAGGCTAGGTTACAGTTTGTTATACTGGGTGGGATTATATTATTAAAGGAACACTCCAGGCTCACACACACGTTAGATGCACTGTGTAGGTTAGGTTACAGTTAGTTATACTGGGTGGGTTTATATTATTAAAGGGACACTCCAGGCTCCCACACATATTAGATGCACTGTGTAGGTTAGGTTACTGTTATGCTGGGTGGGTTTAGATTATTAAAGGGATACTCCAGGCTCCCACACACGTTAGATGCACTGTGTCAGATAGGTTACGGTTAGTTATACCGGGTGGGTTTATATTATTAAAGGGACACTCCAGGCTCCCACACACATTAGATGCACTGTGAAGGTTAGGTTACAGTTAGTTATACCGGGTGGGTTTATATTATTAAAGGGACACTCCAGGCTCCCACACATGTTAGGTGCACTGTGTAGGTTAGGTTATAGTTATACTGGGTGGGTTTATATTATTAAATGGTCACTCCAGGCTCCCACACACGTTAGATGCACTGTGTAGGTTAGGTTACAGTTAGTTATACTGGGTGGGTTTATATTATTAAAGGGGCACTCCAGGCTCCCACACACGTTAGATGCACTGTGTAGGTTAGGTTACAGTTAGTTATACTGGGTGGGTTTATATCATTAAAGGGACACTCCAGGCTCCCACACACGTTAGGTGCACTGTGTAGGTTAGGTTGCAGTTAGTTATACTGGGTGGGTTTATATTATTAAAGGGACACTCCAGGCTCCCACACACGTTAGATGCACTGTGTAGGTTAGGTTACAGGTAGTTATACTGGGTGGGTTTATATTATTAAAGGGACACTCCAGGCTCCCACACACATTAGATGCACTGTGTAGGTTAGGTTACAGTTAGTTACACTGGGTGGGTTTATATTATTAAAGGGACACTCCAGGCTCCTACACATGTTAGGTGCACTGTGTAGGTTAGGTTACAGTTATACTGGGTGGGTTTATATTATTAAAGGGACACTCCAGGCTCCCACACACGTTAGATGCACTGTGTAGGTTAGGTTACAGTTAGTTATACTGGGTGGGTTTATATTATTAAAGGGACACTCCAGGCTCCCACACACGTTAGATGCACTGTGTAGGTTGGGTTACAGTTAGTTATACTGGGTGGGTTTATATTATTAAAGGGACACTCCAGGCTCCCACACACGTTAGATGCACTGTGTAGGTTAGGTTACAGTTAATTATGGTTGGTAGCTTGCTTTTTTAATTAGTTATTAATTTTGCTCTGAAGCCCATCCTTTCCATCTGGTCTGAGGAGAACTCATTCCAAATGCTGCAAAACCTGAGAATATGCAGAAAAAGTTTATATTGGTGTATTTAAAAAAATAAAATAAATTATTTTGAATTCATTGTTTTCACAAATATTTAGCGTAACGCGTTATTGTGATTATTCTTATGGGTACTGATGTAACACCAATATATTTCGTACAATTTTAATCTCAGTAAACAGCTGTAAGTAAGAGAAAGTATTACGAATGCTAAAAGAAAGTTAATGATGACCCTGCTGGAATGAGCTTACCATCTACAAAATAAATGAAAAATAAACGGTTCCTTTATTGATTCTGTCAATGGTGATGTATGAAATATTTGTGAAATTCCAAGAACTGAAAAATGAAGATCAGCCTCTAAAAAACAAAAACAAACAAACCATATGTATATTCATAAAAGCGTATCAATTAAACTATTAATAGCGAACGACTGATTCCTCTTCTGCAACTGTCAGGCTAATACTATCCTTACCATTTTGTGTCATTTTACCCCACTCCCTCTAACATGTAAACTCACTGAGCAGGCCCTCAATCCCTCTGTTACTGTGTCACTATACCCCACTCCCTCTAGCATGTAAACTCACTGAGCAGGCCCTCAATCCCTCTGTTACTGTCACTATACCCCACTCCCTCTAACATGTAAACTCACTGAGCAGGGCCCTCAATCCCTCTGTTACTGTCACTATACCCTCTAACATGTAAACTCACTGAGCAGGGCCCTCAATCCCTCTGTTACTGTGTCACTATACCCCACTCCCTCTAACATGTAAACTGACTGAGCAGGCCCTCAATCCCTCTGTTACTGTGTCACTATACCCCACTCCCTCTAACATGTAAACTCACTGAGCAGGCCCTCAATCCCTCTGTTACTGTGTCACTATACCCCACTCCCTCTAACATGTAAACTCACTGAGCAGGGCCCTCAATCCCTCTGTTACTGTGTCACTATACCCCACTCCCTCTAACATGTAAACTCACTGAGCAGGCCCTCAATCCCTCTGTTACTGTGTCACTATACCCCACTCCCTCTAACATGTAAACTCACTGAGCAGGCCCTCAATCCCTCTGTTACTGTGTCACTATACCCCACTCCCTCTAACATGTAAACTCACTGAGCAGGCCCTCAATCCCTCTGTTACTGTGTCACTATACCCCACTCCCTCTAACATGTAAACTCACTGAGCAGGCCCTCAATCCCTCTGTTACTGTGTCACTATACCCCACTCCCTCTAACATGTAAACTCACTGAGCAGGCCCTCAATCCCTCTGTTACTGTGTCACTATACCCCACTCCCTCTAACATGTAAACTCACTGAGCAGGGCCTCAATCCCTCTGTTACTGTGTCACTATACCCCACTCCCTCTAACATGTAAACTCACTGAGCAGGACCCTCAATCCCTCTGTTACTGTGTCACTATACCCCACTCCCTCTAACATGTAAACTCACTGAGCAGGCCCTCAATCCCTCTGTTACTGTGTCACTATACCCCACTCCCTCTAACATGTAAACTCACTGAGCAGGCCCTCAATCCCTCTGTTACTGTGTCACTATACCCCACTCCCTCTAACATGTAAACTCACTGAGCAGGCCCTCAATCCCTCTGTTACTGTGTCACTATACCCCACTCCCTCTAACATGTAAACTCACTGAGCAGGCCCTCAATCCCTCTGTTACTGTCACTATACCCCACTCCCTCTAACATGTAAACTCACTGAGCAGGCCCTCAATCCCTCTGTTACTGTGTCACTATACCCCACTCCCTCTAACATGTAAACTCACTGAGCAGGGCCCTCAATCCCTCTGTTACTGTGTCACTATACCCCACTCCCTCTAACATGTAAACTCACTAAACTCACTGAGCAGGCCCTGTCCCTCTGTTACTGTCACTATACCCCACTCCCTCTAACATGTAAACTCACTGAGCAGGCCCTCAATCCCTCTGTTACTGTGTCACTATACCCCACTCCCTCTAACATGTAAACTCACTGAGCAGGACCCACAATCCCTCTGTTACTGTGTCACCATACCCCACTCCCTCTAACATGTAAACTCACTGAGCAGGCCCTCAATACCTCTGTTACTGTCACTATACCCCACTCCCTCTAACATGTAAACTCACTGAGCAGGCCCTCAATCCCTCTGTTACTGTGTCACTATACCCCACTCCCTCTAACATGTAAACTCACTGAGCAGGCCCTCAATCCCTCTGTTACTGTGTCTCTATACCCCACTCCCTCTAACATGTAAACTCACTGAGCAGGCCCTCAATCCCTCTGTTACTGTGTCACTATACCCCACTCCCTCTAACATGTAAACTCACTGAGCAGGGCCCTCAATCCCTCTGTTACTGTGTCACTATACCCCCCTCCCTCTAACATGTAAACTCACTGAGCAGGGCCCTCAATCCCTCTGTTACTGTGTCACTATACCCCACTCCCTCTAACATGTAAGCTCACTGAGCAGGCCCTCAATCCCTCTGTTACTGTCACTATACCCCACTCCCTCTAACATGTAAGCTCACTGAGCAGGGCACTCAATCCCTCTGTTACTGTGTGTCTAACTACGTCTGTTCGTCCACCCATTGTAAAGCGCTGCGGAATTTGATGGCGCTATATAAATACCATAATAATAATAATAATAATAATAATAATAATACCTTTTCCTTCTGTACGGTAGAGAATACTATAATATACAAACTTTCTATTTGCAGATAAATTTTACACCGTCCTTGGCCATTTTATTTTTAAATTATTGAGAATTTAATGTCTCTTGTATGGGAAAAATGTGATTATTAAAATCAAAATACAGGTTTCTTTATTTAAAAACAAAATATCTGAATATAACGGCTTTAGTTGTTGAATTGTATTAATAATTTGGTCTGCAGTTTTTTTGTTAGATGAAAAAAAAATCTTAATATTTTCGTAATAAACAGAGACTGGGAATACATTTACTATTTTACTATTTTGTTTAATTAGAGACAAAAATAAAAAAGTATAATTGTATTTGTTTTGTTTGTCAATGTCAATAAATGGTAAAACTTTGTTCAATTTTCACAGGATAAAAAGTTTTGCAGAATATAATATTATTCAGTAATTTGCATTTTACAGAGGTCATAACATTGTATTACAGTAATTGTAGCAGAGCGATTTTAGTTCTTATTACAGAGTTGCTCCAAGCACCATGCTAACTTTATTGTTTTGAAGTGGTGATGGTGCCTTGGGTTAATGTGTGGATCGGTGCCCATACCGAGTCATTGGGTGTCATTAGCCAGCCCAGAAGTAGGGTTCCGGCTGGCTAATGTCAATCCTGCACAATATTTTGTAGCTGAGAGCAATCAACTGACGCTCTAAGCCCATGCATTCTGCATTCGGTAGCTTTGTAGAAGCTGGAGGTGTCACCGATGAGGACAGGACCCACGGTGCTAGGCAGAGAGCCCGGTAAGAAGTTAATCTGTTACTAAACATGGAGCCTGCCACCATAACCACTACATTGGAATATTCTATGGTGTCATCTTTTGACAAATGAGAGATTTATTCACTAAACACCAAATGGCACTGAACTGAAAAACAGGCTTCAAACATTTGGAAAAATGTGCTAATTTAGGAAAACAATCTGCAGCTCAGAACCCTCTGGTGGTATTCATATATGTTTATTTTAATGTAATTTTCTGAGGGGAATATTCATAGTTTGAGTATTTTTTATTTAAGTAAAGTGTTGGCACAATTTATGAAAATAAAAAGCTATGACCATTTAAAGCTAAGAATGCGTTGCGTTCAATGTTGCTAAAAAATATTATCCTATGACAAATGTCTATATTTGCTCTTATCAAACATTAAAGTCAGAGTTTGTTGATAACTGATGGCGAAGGGATATCTTTTGTGTCGGTACTTCTCACCACTTTATCAGTTTTAAATTCATGGATTAACAGTCCAGATGGGGGGATTTTGTGAAATTGTACCTCTCTGCCAGGTGCCCCTGAATTTGTGTAATTTATTGTAATATCTAGCAGTATTCTACAACTTTTCCTCACACAGAGACAATGAGGTTAATATTTCTGTTACAACAATCATTTAGAACATTTTAATAATAACTTCACTTCTTATTTTGATCATTTGTAGCGGCTGAAATACCAGAATATCACAGAATTCCTTGCGGCCATCCACCCAACCCAGAAAAAGTTGGTTCACACTAAAAACAAAAACAAATATTTGTGAAATTGTCAAAAACCATTAACCCCTTAAGGACCGGACTGTTTTTGCGATGTTGTACATTTGCGACCAGGCATATTTTTACACTTTTGCGGTGTTTGTGTTTGGCTGTAATTTTCCACTCTCTCATTTACTGTTCCCATACAAATTATATATTGTTTTTTTCAGGACAAAAGGGTCTTTCTTTACATACCATTATTTATATAAATCTCTTGTATTTTAAAAATCTTTTACTCATCTACAAAAGCGAATGAAAAAAACTGCTAAATAGATTCAAAATTTTGTCCTGAGTTTAAAAATACCCAGTGGTTAGGTGCTTTTCTGCTTTTTTTGCATGTTATAGGGCTATAGGTACAAGTAGAATATTGCGGTTTCAAAACATGACATTGTAACACTATTAACTGTCAAATCTCTGAATAACACCCCACATGTACATATTTTTTTTAAACTAGACAACCCAGGGTATTTAATATGGGGTATGTCCAGTCTTTTTTAGTAGCCACTTAGTCAAAAACACTGGCCAAAGTAAGCATTCATATTTGTTTGTGTGTGAAAAAAGTAAAAAAACTAAATTGAACGCTAATTTTGGCCAGTGTTTGTGACTAAGTGGTTACTAAAAAAGACTGGACATACCCCATTTGCAATACCTTGGGTTGTCTTCTTTTGCAAATGGTATGCCATCGTGGGGGTAATTCTCATTCCTGGGCTACCATACGCTCTCAAAGGCAACGTAACCAACCTGGCCATTTTCAATGTAAAAATATTTGACCCATATATTTGACCCTGTAACTTTCAAAAATACTATAAAATCTGTACATGGGGGGTACTGTTTTACTCGGGAGACATCGCTGGACACAAATATTAGTGTTTAAAAACTGGAAAACGTATCACAACAATTATATCAGTAAAAGTGCTGTTTGTGTGTAAAAAATGCAAAAAAAGTCACTTTCACTGACAATATCATCGCTGTGATATATTTTACTGTTTTGAATCACTAATATTTGTGTTCAGCGAAGTCTCCTTAGTAAGACAGTAACCCCCCATGTACAGGTTTTAGGGTGTCGTAGAACGTTACAGGGTAAAATACAGTGCTAGCAAATTAAATTCTCTGGACTTTCAGTCTGGGTTGGCAGGCAGGTCCCTCAAATTTGTTTGTTATCCATTGATAAAGCCTTATATTGGTGAAACGCGTTTGGATATTTTTTACTATTTTATATATTGTTAATAAAAGATTTTGGTCATTTTTACATTTATACCATCATCTTTTCTATTACCTGGCTATTTTATAAACTTTTTATTTACATTTTACCTCTTTTATTATTTTTAAAGTCCTGTATACCATACTCCAAGAATCCCAGGTGGGGATTATACCACCTACGCTGTTACATAGAGCAGTCAGTCTGCCCTATACATTGTGAGTATATTTTATTATTTTATTTTATCAATTAAGATTTTATTGAGAGCACTATCGCTGTTTTACCTTCTCTTCGAGCTCCTGATATTCCGGTCAAGATCACTCCTCATATATCCCATAAGCAGGGATGATACCGCTGTACGCCTAACCAACTAGAGCTAGCCTAAGCTCTACCGAATGTGAGTGTATCTATCATATTTGACATATTTTTTATCAGTGTAGAACATACTGCACCATTACTTTCTTCATTTTATCTTCCCCAACTTCGGCCACCTGTTACTACAAAGAAGAGGACACCTGCCGAACATCCTGTAAGTGGGGATAATACCGCTGCAAGCTATCCACACCAGAGCTGGGTTAAGCTCTGTAAATTGTAAGTAAGATCTCTTCTACTTTTACATATTTGGACCACTCTCCACGACACCGATACCTTCTGAATACCACCAAAAGTAGAAATTTGGACACGAAAATATATATTGGACTCACTCATCCCCCATCTTTCGAGGTCCCTCAAATTGCAATCAATAAAATTACTTAATTATGTAAAAATATTACATAAATATACACGTAGAATTTAAATATATATGCATATTTATATTTTTGAAGTCTACGTGTATATTTATATAATTTTTTATGTAATTTTGTATATGGACATATGTATATTTTGTATTATTTTTATATATACATAGATATATACAAATTCATTCTAAGTGTATTTTGATATAAATATATATTAATTTTAAAATACAGTTAGAATAAAATTTCATATAGATATAATTTTTTTTCAATTTTTATTATTATTTAAAAAAAATTTAATTTAAATTACTTATCATTTATATTTTATAATATATATACACACACACAATATATATAGTTATAATTAAATTACACACGTATATATAATATATATAATAAGTGTATTTTTATATTAATATAAGTACATATTAATATAAAAATACACTTAGTATGATATATTATATTTATATAATATGTCTATATATCATATATATATATATATATATATATATATACACACACACACACACACACACACACACATAATTTTTTTTATTTTTAATTAACACTAACTTTATTTTTTTAGTTTTTTTTACACTAGCAGGGAGACTGCCTGTCAGCACAGACAGTCCCCCTGCAGGCAGCACTATGGACACCTATTGTGACCATGTGATCGCTGTGTTAAGCGATCACATGGCCACAGGGGTCCTAATC